TTGTTACGGAAAGCACTGTGAAAATAGATAATTAAGTGCAGCTTCCAGGGGCACAACAAACATGATGTGTCATCATCCCTGAGCACATGAAATAATGAACTGACATAGGTGTCCATGCCTATAAGCCATATGTGTGGGCACGCCTTCTTTACTATTTCCACAGGCAATATTATTCTGATGGGGGTGTGGCCAAAGTCACAGTTCTTCCGATTAGGTAGCGTGTTACCAACTCCATAGCAAGCATACACAACAATCCAATGCAATACATATCCACCATCGTCCTCTACACAATAGGTCGGCGCTGACTACCAGCCTTGCAATGCCAAGCATTGGCACATGAATGACTCTAAAGCGCTATAAATGTAACGTTATTATGGACGAAATTGACGACCAAATTGTAAAGGCCCAGTTTCTGGTGCCGTGTGAAGTACTCAACCAATAACTTTGCCTCGGAAATGTGATGTTTTGAACAGTCCTTCTAAGTATTTTTGTGCTATGAACTGTTCCTTTCGAATGAAGCAAAAGACATACGCTGCTATGCCAGAATACGCCTTATTTTTATCTAGTACTGTGTTTAACTACGGCAGTGGCTTCAGCCATCTTTGATGATGTTTGGATATATGTGACATGTTTTGGCGGGAGAGTATTGAATCAGGAAGGAGTTGCGTTGGATGTGTAGTTGTTGAGCTCTCCATGATTGTGAGATACTCTGCAGCACGTCGGTGGGTGTGATCTGAGTCTACAAAGCATGTGCATATTATGATGTTGGTTTTGGAATGTATTGAAACTGATCTCGTCTTTTTTGGCGAGGATGTGTTTCGTGGAAGGGTATGTGGGGTTCCACATCAATATGCTCAAAGGCTTATTGTTCCGATTTGTACACTTCAAGCAATTTAGAAGGGTGTAGATGCCACTGAGGGTGGGGAAAGGACTGAATATGTGGTGTTAGCTCCTCAGTGATATGTGAAGCCTCATGCTACGCAGATGGCAAACTTGTTTAATTGGCAATGAGATATGAAGCATGGGTCCTGTTCTAAATGTGAACAGTTCATTTGTTCTCGTGATATAGCATTGCACCTACAAATGTTGATATGAAAGTATGATTGCTTTTCAGATTTTGCTTTACACCAATGGCATGATTGCCTGCTACAAGGCAAAAGCCAAAGCTATGTATGAACTGTACATGTAAAAAGCTCAGAGTCATATGCATAGCTGGTATGGCATTCAGTTCTGAGGCATTCATCTTTTTGCAGAAGCTTTCTGCTGTAGCAAGAGGAAAGCTGCAAAGTCAAGTTGATTTGGTATTGAGAATGTCAAAAGAACATTTCACATTTATCACAGTACTATAATTAGTGCAGTATTATTCAGTAAAATGTTTGCTGTATCACAGGGCCTTGGGGATTTCATTTATGCATTATGTTGGTGCATTCAAGGGGTTGGTGCTCTAACCTGTAGTGTTAGCTGGAGATAGGGTAAAAGCCATGCTATTCAAGTTGTTTTAATTGTTAGCAATGAGTGGGCTGCTCTTTCAAGTCAAAATGTTCTGCATGGGATACCAAGTTATACTGTTCTTCTGATGCAGTTTGTTTTCTTCTATGAAAAGGTTTTGATTGTAAATGCAGCATGTAGTTCTGATTGATGTGGTATAGCCTGTTGTGTTACCTGTCTTCACATTGGTATGATATGAGGTGTGTGCTGCTCAGACATATTTGCATCATGCCAGAAGGGTTGTGGTCCATAAGACTGACTTTGATTGTAAATTGTGGGTCACAACTTTTTGGGCCCTGAATTGTTAAAATCTGGAAATTTGCTGAATTGATGAAATGAAAAAGGAATGATTGCTCTCTTAAATCCCAGTTTGCACATTTCTTTTTCATAAAAACATATCCCCAATTGCCTTCTTTGTAGCAATGCCCATGCTCAGAAGGCACTGCATGAAATGGTTGGTGGGAAGCACAGAAGTGTGTGAGGTACCTGTTGACCTACCACTTGTTTTCCTAATTTCAAACTCATCAGAGTGCTGCATGGTGAGAAGGTTTTTGTTTTTCTACTTTACATTATTTTGGTACCTATGAACCTTGGTGTGCATGTTAGCTTGAAATGGATGTATGTAGTGAATATCTAAGCCTATTGGTAGGCTGCAATCTTATCCTTTTTCTTGAATAGGTGCTGGTGGAAATCTGGCGTTGGGTTCTCCTGACTGTTAAATCAAGTAGTGTTTGGATAGAATACACTGCAGCATGTGGAGGATGGGCCTATGTCTAAGGCACAGGCTATACCAACTTGCACAAAGTGCTTGTGGCCAAGACCATAGTGGCATCACCTTACATCAGCTGGTGCTCACAAATTCTGCTTGCTGTTTAGTGGTAGCTTTTAGTTTCTCTGTTTCATGACTATCTACTATTGTTTTTGTCCGTGGTTTTTCCATCTGGATTAACATTGTTCTTTGTGACATTTTGTTGCGTTTTGCTTCTTACAGGTACTGACAAGGATCTTGCAGAAGAGCTTAACCAAGATTGAAACTGAAGGCGTGCTGTTTCATGGAAAACTAAAAAAAATGGAACAAAAACGGTCTGTCCCATGGAGACCTAAGTGTCCACAAATTTTGCTGTGGTGCTGTTTTTGTAATGAACGGTTTAAGGAGCCATCAGAGCTTGACAGACACCTAGACAGATACAAAGTAAATTGGAAGCTGTACTGGCAGCTGTACTACTCCAGTCAGAAGGGGCTCAGCTGTCATTTGTGTGACATATTGCATGCTGACAGGAAGAGCCTTCAGTGTCACTTCAAGATGGTGCACTGCATCAGTGGACAGCTCTGTGCGGTTCGTGGTCATGTTTCGCTCGAACCTGCCCGCCATGAAGGTGATCAGAAGGTCTACAGTCACACGTTAAAGCCTTTTGCTGGACCTGCTGAGATGCTTCGTGGCCCGCTCAAAACCACGCATGCTCACACGGACCCACGGAAGAATCGTGGTGTGCCTGACTCTACGAACATGGACGAAGTGGATGTCCTGTTTGAGATCAATCGGACTGACTCCCCTAGCGCTGAATTGTCAAATGATGTGAGGTCCAGTGCCTCGAATGTTCTGCCCGGCGCCACAGTCCCTTGTGCAGAACCCTTGTCTGGATCTGATGATGATGTTCAAGTGTTGGAGGAGGTGGAAGCCAGCTGCTCTTCATCCCAAGGCTCTGGATGTGCTTCCAATGATGAACCGGCCGTCATACTTGCGGATGGGTCAGATCTGTCACGTCTCATAGCCCCTTCATCTGTCATCACTGTGCTGGGCTCGGATGACGAGGTTGAAGAGTTGGAATCACGTGAGGTAGCTATGGCATCACCGTCTGGAGAGATTATGGAAGGCTATGAGGGTGGTGTGGTTGGCGCGCAGGTTGAAGATAGCCATGGTCATGATGCGTCAGCTACACATGCCTCCACGACACGACCTACCGCCAGATCGTGTCGTAGAGACATGCATACAAATATTTTCAGCATAACGCCATCTGTGCGCCCTCCCACGGAAGGCGGACATGATAGACCAACTGCTATAGTTAACCCATTTGGCTCACAAGAAGAAGGCTGCTTACGAAGTACGCCAAATGATGCCCGTACGCAAACCGAAACTCCACTGCGATCTGATATGGCACAGCTGCCGTCGTACGCGACCGCAGCGGATGACAGTTGTATGTCGTTGCCTGAAGCACGGCGGAGAGAATTTCATTTTGAAGCAAATGTCTCTTCCGTTGTCAGCAGCCAGGATCCGTTGGACGGGTATGGGGACTGCCGGGCTGATGCGCTGGTTAATGTAAAACCATCATCTGAGGACTGTGGCCCAGATGGCTTAGTGCCTGAGGAAGGTGTCAGTGGCGAACAAATAGTGCGCAGGAGGTTGAAGGAGCCCAGCGTTAGATTTCGACAACCTTTGCCCGATCTTAGCCGCCTGACTCCCAGCAAAATAGCAGCGTTCATGAACAGAGATGTGTTGCCTATGAGTTGCCAGCCGGATTTCGAGTCGCACTTTGAAGGAAAGCCATTGCACAATGTGTTACACGGAACCATCGACGTGGACAGCCATGATCGTCTCCATTCGCGTGGGGACTTCTACGACTCTGATGTAGACATTGAGTTAGGGAACACTACGGAAGGGCACCATGTCGAATCGGAGGGGCGGTCCCAAAGCCACAGTCCAGAGTCGCATGGTGATCCCATCGAGAGACTACCCGGGGAAAGAAAATGGGTGCTTTCGCCTCGCGGCAGCTCAACCGAGGACGAAGATTCTCTGCCTTGCGGGCTAAGCATTGTTAGTGTAGAGACGTTGTTGGCAAAAAAGTTGGAAAACGACGAACCTGAACCCGAACCACTTGCAACCAGATTGGGTTCCGACACCAGGAAGCGAGCCCATTCATCAAGTGGAATGCCCAGACGCTGCCGATCCAGCACGAGACTGGCAAAGGGAACGGAAGAAGATCCAAATCTTCCGGGACGCGACAGTTACGCGGTGCATCAAAGAGCTGCATGTCCAGAAGAGGAACATGATGCTGAGTTGTCTCCCGCAAAGAAAAAGCAAGTTAGTTCTCAACTTGATTATCCCAGCACTCGGACCGGAGACCAAGAAGTGGGCTCCCTCGGCGTCTTCAAACAGCCTATTTGGTGCGTATTGCGTTGATTGCCCCATGTTTTTTGCTGTTTGTTTTTGCTGTTGGGGTCGGCCATGCGGTCATGCTGTGTGGAAAACGTCTTATTGTCGTAGTGGGTGAGATTCTATTTTGACATTTTTCGTTTGATGTTGGAACTGGTGGAAAGCTGGTAGGGAAGTTACATTGACATCATTTAAGCGTCTTACAATATAACTGCTGTCTATATTCAAGTACGTAGCGAATACCGTGTCCTCTAAACTGAGCCACGATTTTTCACAATTTGTCGGCGCGTGATATATACGGTGCTCAAAGTACTTTGTGCTTGTCAGAGCATCGGTCTGGAACAAGCCGTATATAAACAGATGCAACAGGGCTGGCCGAGCTGAAGCATACTCGGATCAGTAGTATAAGCATCTTGACAGTCCGTGTTGATTCACGTCTTAGCGGGCTGTCAGCAAGCATTCGCTAACTTTTTCGCACAGACGTGTCTCGTGACATTTGCCGTGCCCTTTCACGTTTACAGCCGCGGTTGCGGCTGACCACAATGACGCGAAGTAGAACATGAATGTGTGTGTTACCTTTGAAGTCATTCGAGTTCCTCGCTTTCTTCTGGATCAGATTCAGTCACTATCCTCACGTTGCTGGACATTTTGTTTCTCTAGTTGAGCGATTACCACACCTGTTACAAGAAGACCGTGGATGTTATGACTTGTCAACTTTAATGTGATGCACTGCGGTCGTCAACGCTGTCTTCACACTTGGTGGCAAATTCTGGGTTTAGTTGTTTGAATTTATAAATTATGTACTTATGAGCCATTAGTATCGAATTACCGAGCTTTCAAATCGAGCATGCCCATTGTCCTGAGATCTGAGTGGATCTGTATCCCAAACCGTCAAACCTGGCAGGCAATGTGTTGGAGTCGTTCATCCAGGAAGTCTGGTCGAAGTTTCCATTCCCGGCGAGCTAAGATCTTCGTGGGACCGTGAATCTTTGGATGGGATGGTGAGAACCATGTGCCGTTTGAGTTGTGGACGTTTTCGATATTGTCGTTGCATTTTGCTGTACTCGTACCCATATAGTGTAGCATCATATTCGTTCCTTGTTCGAGTTTTACTGTGCTTGGTCATCATCAGTTAAATCGTTATTTAAAGCGTACATGTCTCATCTGGTGAGGTACGCTCTGTACTTTGTGCAGTGTGGGACCGGCCACACAGGAGCTTTCAGTGCAAAGAAAATCAAGGTTGGTCTAATGATGCGATAAGTCGAGAGTTGTTGCGATCTTCAGTCATATCGTCTTGTGATATGGGCAGGTGTGTTGTCGTGTTTCAGGTGATGAAGGTAGACGGCTCCAAAAGTCAGGTTCGCTACTTCATTCATTTCCCAAACCTGGATACTCGCCATGACCGCTGGGTCGCTATGCGGGACATAATCCAGGTGTATCGGACCGAAGACGACACAACCCATGCGGTAAGCTGATGGCCATAACACACGCGCGTATTCTGTTGACACTGGGAACTGGGAGTTCTAATGTTGAGAATAATCTACCATTGTCCTTAAATACGCTAGTAAGTACTGGGTAAAGGACGTTGTCATGCAAGCGTAGGTTATGCAAGCAAATGTCGGAGACAGCATTGGTTATAGCACGAATACTCCAAGGTCATAACGCCGCGTGGACCTCTGGGCCAAATTTTGCTGTCAGCGCGAATATATTGGTGCGCTTTGGACGGGCATCCTGTTGGGATCTTTGGACTTTGACGTGAGTTATGGCGGCCCTGCGCTGCATAGGGTGCCGACCCCTGACTGGGTCATGTCAGTGTTCTTTTCAGGCACAACGTACATTCTTTTGCATAGGAGCACACCCATTCGTGTCGTCAAATACTGACCCGTGACAGTTGCGATACTCTGGATCCTGTGATCCCACGAGGGGTATCGAATGGATCGGGTCGAACAAAAGTCAGATGAATCAGGGCTGGCCGAACATAAGAATGATCGGAACAGTAGTATATGCATCTGACATTTGGAGGGCTTTAGTGGCGAGGAAGGGAATGGGCCTCCCAGTGAAGTTAAGCAAGCGTGTTTTCTCTTGAACAGTGGAAGTTGCGACTTTGTAAGCAGCTTTTCGTCCCCAACAAGGATTATTTCTTGGATGTATGGCAGCTGTATACGTCTTTCCTAGAAACGCTCCATTGCAACGCTATGCTGCCGTCAGACTTGAGAGGATCACTTCGCGACGCTTGTTTCCGATATTTGAAGTCAGGACTGAACACCAATAGTTGTTAGTAAGGCATCATTGGCGAACGCGTGACTAATGTGCCACGTGAATCAGCGGGAGATGCCGCATCGATGCGTTGAACTGTTCAGATAAGTTTTTGGTGGGCCCAATCTCTTTGCAGACCATTTTCATGGCTGAATTGAGCATTGTCTGCTTCAAAAAGGAGAGAGGATTACATCTTTACAAGCTTGTAAGTTAACAACACATTGTGACCTGCTTAGGTTTTGTCTTGGAACTAGCTGTGATGCATTGCTGGGATAAATTGCGAATTTTGCTACATGTCCAAACAGGTTTCCCTCTGTTTTAAAAGCAGAGCTCTGGGAAATGCAACGATTCGTGCCGTGACGGGCATTGTACGAGGCAGAAAGGCTCAGTTCGGCGATGCGTCATGCCGTTTGGGTGAGTAAATGTATATTGCTTTATACTGTGTGTAATATTGGGATGTATCGACGCGACTATCGTCGGATCACCCGGGCAGTACGATGCGTTGCAGGCTGCTGGTGCACCGGCCGCGGCGGCGTCGCCGTCCCGCCCAACGAAGCGGCGCCTGGCGTTCGACCCGTCACCGGGAAGGCGTCTGCCGTTCGAGCCGTCAGCGACAGCCGAGCGTCCCGTTCCACACGACGAGGCGGGGGAAGCACCGGTCACCACCCAGCTGGCGTCTCGGCGACAGTGCGGTCACCCGGGGAAGCAGGCTGCTCGGAAATCGGGCTCGCCCAAACAAGCGCGCTCTAGGACACTGGCGGTACCCCACTCCCCACGGGTGGAGGGTGTGACTGGACTGACACCGCACGCAGAGGCGCCCGATCGGCCTCCGGTTCCGCCCGCAAAGACAGGACTGGTGACGCAGGCTAGTGGCTCGGCTCCGGCTCCCCGCACACGACGGAGCTGTTCCGTCATCGTCAGCGTGGCACAGCGTCCTGGGCCGCCCTCTCATCCTCCAGCGCAGCCCCAGCAGGAGACGGGAGTAGCCATGGAGACGCCCGATCGGAATCAGAGTCCACCAGCACAGGCCGCGCCGGTGACACAAGCGACGGAGCCTCCTGGCAGGCGGCGGGGTCGTCCCCCGAAGGCCATCACCAATGTGGCGCAGGGTACTGGGCCGCCCTCTCATCCTCCAGCGCAGCCCGAGCAGGAGACGGGAGTAGCCATGGAGACGCCCGATCGGAATCAGAATCCGCCAGCACAGGCCGCGCCGGTGACACAAGCGACGGAGCCTCCTGGCAGGCGGCGGGGTCGTCCCCCGAAGGTCATCACCAATGTGGTGCAGAGTACTGGGCCGGCCTGTTTTCCTCCAGCTCATCTCGAGCGTGAGGCAGGGGTGGCCAGAGAGCGCCCTCATGAACAGATTGGCCGTGAACCGAGACAGGTCGGCAGTGTGCGACGCCGCATAGGGGCGAAAACGACTAAAGAATGTGTCACTTCAGACGTCCCGAACTTACCTGCGCTGACCGGCCGTGATTGGGAGGACACTGGACAAGCACCAGAGACGCTGATCCGGCGGTCTGGTCCGGGTGCACCGACGGGGGTTTGCGGGCAGCGCGGTGGCCGGCGTGCCACTAGGAGATGTGGGCCGACTGTCAAGGCCGACCCGGCGGATGACCCCGCTCCTGACCGCCACCAGTCTATCTTGCTGACGAACAGTGGCGGAGCGGTGACAGAGCCGGCGCTACGCCAGGATATGGGGACCGCATGCCTTCGTGCACGCGATCGAGGAAGCCGTGGTATGGGAGACGGCGCCGTGGTCGACGTGTCCACGTCCCACGTTAATGTGTCGGACGGTCATGCAAAGATATCACGTGGAATGGGCCGTTCCGGGCGTCCGAGCGTGGCATCTGCGGGGAAGGACCCATCGCCAGCGGGTGAAGCACCAGGCGATAGCATTCGAACACAGGCCTCGGCAGACGCAGATGCTCGTCCGGCGGCTGGCGCGGATCCACCTCCGGCCCCAGCGGCCACTGGCCCGCGCAAGCGACGCGCCCCCGCCCTCAAGACGCGCCCTCCGAAGGGCGTTATCATACAACCGTAAGTCTATCGCCATTAATGACATTTGACATTTGCGATAGGTTGGCTTGCACCGGCGAAATGTTTATAAAGTGGGAAATAGGCATCAGGTCTTCATGATATAGAATTCCGCTTGTGCACCGTTTTCGTGTCACGCGCGACTGTTGGTGTTGGATAGGTTGCCGCGTCAAAAATCATTGCAGCGCATGAATGCCGTTGTTTAGCGAACGCCAGTTCTTAGGGGCAGTGTGCGATGTTGCAGGGCTGCGGCGTCTGTGCTGGAGACTCTCCGTGCTGGCAGCGTCGTGTACGTGGCCTGCTGGACGGATAGTCACGGCTGGCGCTGCCTGTATCCGGCTGAGGTAACTTGTGCAGAGAAGTGCCTGGTGTTGGGCGCGTCCTAAGCTGGAGCGTTGTGAACCACGTTGCAGCGAATGCGCCCTTTCGTTGTCCGGAAGAATGGGCGTAGACAAATCCCATCCCAATATTAATAGCAGCCATGTCTTTTTGGTGCTTACCGCCCCCACAATTCATGATTTCGCTTTCGATTTCAATTCATGATTCACAGACGCTGAGATCCATTTCGGTTGATGCTATTTAAGCTATGTGAGAAAAAAACACTAGATCTTGATGGCGTTTGGATTTGGCCACGTTTACACGCTGATGCCATTTCAGGTGGTGCGTGTGAACAGAGACCTGTGGTATCCGCAATACCGGGTCCACTATCCGGGATGGAGGGCTAAGCACGATGAATGGATAGCTGAGGACGTCATACACAGCGTGGTGACGTCGCATAGCCAGATGACCGTGGCACTGCGGGTACGGCGCCCAGACGCGGTGGCTCCACAGGGCCTGGGGTGCTGGCCGGTTTGAGTATGGGTTGCGCGGCCGCAGAGTGTCGGCGCGTCGTTGCTTGCGCGCAGCTATCGGAAGAGCAAAGCAGGAATACAGATCCAACACAGCGCTGAGTGCAGCTGTGTCCAGAATGAGCTTATTTACGACAATGTTGCACGTGTCTGTTGTCAGCGAGGGGTAATGTGCTGTGACGTCAAAGCATAAATCGTTTAGCTGCGCGTGTCAGCCTACTCGTCACAAAGCGTATGCCTGACTGCAAGATTTGCGGAAGTCGCCGTTAGTGTGTTCCCCCCCCCCAAAAAAAAACACTATGAAACTGGATGTTTCCAGATATTCGCATTGTACTCAGCTATTTTTTTCTGTACGCTGGATTTCGTGTTCTGTATGTGCTTTGCAGCATTTAGAACTTAGCCTATCCCAAATTTTATATGTAGTCCAATTCTTCATGTTCAGTTTCTGCTTGGGATTGCAGAACAGTTGATTTAGTGTAAAACCCGGAAGTTACGATGAATCAGATGCATGTGCGTAAAAGAATGTCTAATGGGGCGTTCTTTTATCCTGAAATAATTGCACTTTCGGCTCATAATGCTGAATTTCACCTCAGCGTCGGCTCCACCTTCCGCAGAAGTCCTGGAAGGCGCCTCCGCAGACAGCAGGGTCGCGAACGCTCGAGCCGACTGTGTCCTCTCTGGTAACTGAAAACACCGGGCGTGTGGACGACCATGAGCAGACTGCCAGTGTCCCTGCAGCACTGGTGAACGGTATTCCCAGGGGCTGTAAGCCGACGCAGTGCCGCGCGACCGAACACCTGGCGCAGCTGCCTGGAGCCCGGCGCGCGCCGGGTCTTGTCGATTTGGGCCTGGCCCGGGGTCGCCTGGCCACGCGGGGCCGAGGCCGAACCGGCCTCCGTCGACTGAGGAACCTTCCCGAGATAGAGCGGCAAGTCCGGTTCCCCGCGCATGGAAAGGCGTTCGGCCGCAGTCCCGCGAAGATGGGACGGCGTCAGCTACTTACTCGCCTCCGGGCAAGCGCGTGCGGGATCCCTGAGGACACCGGTGGCGGTGGACCAGCCGTGGCACGGACCACGCCCGGACTCTCTCAGAGGAAGCCGCCCGTACTCGAGGTCGCTGTCACGGGTCCTGCGGGGGCCGCGGCCACGACGACTGGCAATACGGAGTGGAGGCGGCTGCGCTCGCGGCCGCCCAGCCTCGGCCAGCCGGCGTCGCACCTGGAGCGTGTCGAAACGCCGTCGGCACTTGCGGCGGCGCCGGCCGTTGGAGACGTGGCCGCGGCGGCTGGAGCGGCCGTTGGCAAACGCCGGCCGCGGTCGCGCCGCAGTGCGGCTCGTCCTCCGCTCGCCGACCCGGCTGCACGTCAGACTCGGGCGCTCAGCACGGACGGCAGCACGGGACCTCCTGCGCGGCGACCCGAGGTGGCGATGGACCGGCCGCGGCATTGGAAAGTGTCGCCGGCGCAGGCGGCCCCCGACATTGCGCCGACATCGGCCGTCCCTGACCGGCAGCCGGGCCCGGCGACCGGCTCGGAGGCCTCCGACCCGGCCGACAGGGTTACCACCAGCCCGTAAGTGCCGCTCCAAACAGTCACTGATGCGCACGTCGCCGGGCGGCTCTGTCGGTCACATGGCGTCGGGCGTTCGGTGGCAGAGTAAATATGTACTTGGTATAAGCAAGACATGCCTCCATCTCCTGGTGTTTTTGGTATTCTTCTTTGGGTGTTGGTGTTTATGGTATTCTCCTGGAGTTCAGAGTCTTATGCCGACAGTCATCGGCTTTGGGTGCACCGGGAGGTACTGGTTAAACGACGTCATCAAACAAGTGTTGTCATTGTCAATGCAAGACGCTAGAAGCTACTTCGGATGATTCATGACGTCCATTCATATCGGTGGTTAAGACCGACCTGATCCCAAACAGCCTGTGGGACTTGGTGTTGACGGTGATTGGGGCAGTCGCCATAGCCACTGCTAATCTGAGAAGTCGCCCATATTATGCTGTTTGTGCAGGACTGATCTCCGCCGTTTTCCAGGGCCGACCCCAAGACGCTAAAACAACTGAAGCCTGACGATGTGGTGTATGTCGTGTACGAAACCACCAAGGATGGCACCAAGTTCACATACCCCGCTAAGGTGCTGCAAATTTTTCATAAAGCCAAGTTAAATTAAACGCCCAGAAAAGACATGGCGACCATCGTACGTCTTTCCTATCATCCGGACCTTATTGGCGGTCTTGCTACACGGGAAAAGGGATCGCAAAGTACATCTTGCATATATTTTATCTTATAAAGCATAATGGGTGTCTAGGCATTGAGCATACATGTGTAAATGAACACATCTAAGTTTCATCAAACATAATGAGATCTATGTGAAGCAAGAACATACATGTCTAGATGAGTAGCGTGAATACATCCGTTCATTTCATATATTTGTATTTCGTATATTGTGATATATACGAAATATATCACAATATACGAAATATATATTGTCATGCACTCGCGACAACGCATGCGTATTTCCACTGCCACGACTATGGAGGAGGATCCTGGTTAATGTTCACAGCGATTTATCCGGGTAGTGCTGTAAACACCAGCACGCTGTCCTCGTCTGCAAGTATTCTCCCTCCAGTGTTAAAGTTTCACTGCATCGTCCTCTACTCCAGTGAAGCGCAAACTTGTGGTCTCCTTCGCCATAGATATTGGAGATACGGAAGGACGCACTGTTCACGTACTTTTTCGTCCACTACCTCGGCTGGTCCCAGCGTCACGACGAGTGGATCATGGCCCAAGTCATCCACAGTGTCGTGAATCTCAGCCAGCTTCCAGACGGCCTCCGGTCGCTCAAGGTACGTTGTGGTCCGTTTTGTCGCATCGTCGCATTGTGGTCCGTTTTGGGACATTGGCGTCACTTTTGGTGCTGTGTCGTAGTTAATGGTGGTGAAGGGGACCAAAATCTTGTTCGTGACCATCAATATTACAACAGTTTCAGTTATTAACAACCTGATCATGCTTGGCCCGTTTGGTTGCTGAGTAAGGTTTTTGTATGGTAAGTGGATTTTACTGAGCTACATGCCACATAAATAATTATAGCATTTTACGGGCAATTGCCACATAATACAGCTTGTGTAGTTGCACCCCACTTAAAGGTCATCATTTCGCGCTAGGGGCAACATCATGACCTTTGTAGTTTGTTCCTTCGTAGCTTGTTTAGACGACTTGTTCCACCCAAACGGATTGCGGATAATGGGAAAGACGTATTTCTTCATCGAGGTAATTGCCCCGTGCATCCCTGAGTCAACGTGTGTCTGTACTACACAACATGGAGATCGCATTACGGATCAGGTAATAATAAAAGCCGTTCCGTGTGAGGTGCCCAAGCAGTGGGTTGCCAGCTAAGTACGTTATTTATTAGAACATTTGCACTCGCCGGCCACCCATGCGATCGCGCGAGCCCCGTACCCCGCCGTCGACCTGACGTATGAGGCTGCGGTCTGAGGGGTGCCGTGCCGAGCTGCCGGCCGGTGTTTCAGCGTCGCATGGTGCCGGCGTCGTCCGGGCCGGCCCACCCGGCCGCCTACCGCCGACTGCGGCCCTGCTCCGTGGACCTCTCCGCCAACAACATCTGCTTCTTCTCGGCGCTGCGTAAGGAGCGCTTCCACGTGGCGGACCGGCGCATCATGGCTCTGCGGGAGGCGCGGCGCAGCGGCCGGCAGGACGGGTGGTCCGCCGGCGCCGTGCTCTGACCCCCGGCTCGGTCGCCCCGCCGAGTGGACCTAAGCGACGCCTGGTGTGAGTCGATCAACCACGCGGAGCGTGGCTTTGGCCCCAGTGCGAGATTTTGAGGCCAGTGTGGCCACTTGGTGCGGTGAGGCCACCCCAGTTGGCACAGGTAAGATCCGTTTGCGTTAAGTTGTGCGTCTGATGGTTAGCCGAGATGCCATGGTGTTCAGACTGTCATGTATCATAGTGATGATTTTTGGGTTGTGATATCGCGTACAGGAAGCGAAGGTCCAGTTTTCACATCTACTCAATACGTCTGTGGTGGTGTGCGTGTGATCGCATTTCGACTTTTTCATATGCCCTTCAGCGGGCGCGTTAGCCATCGTGCTGGTCTGGTGTGCCAATCATTCTATGGCTCCTGGAGCGGAGCTTTGTGCTTAACATTCGAGTGAAAGTGGTCTCATTTTACAGTTGTATTTTATACGTGTGTATAAGCCCAGAAGGCAATACAAGGCGTATGCCCAACCGATTCACTTATTTCTCTTTGGCGTCGTCCATAGCCAGAGAGCCTGGTTCTTCTTATCCTGTGGATAACATGTACCGAATTAGACCCGTCGAATATTCCAATGAAGTAGGCTTTGATGCGTTGGAACCAACCCGTCAGACATTGACAGCATATTCTGGATGCCAGCTAATGGCACAGCTGGATATAAGCTGTGCTAAATAATGTGGCCCACGTAAGCAATTGTGAGCGCGAACAAGCGAAGAGAGTGCGGATGGCGGCGGAGTTACCTGCAGCTTGACACCCATCTCCAGCAGCGCGTTTCGAAGACCGTCGCACGCTCCCATCAGTTCCGCCCTCTTGTCTTTGTCCTCCAAGGCGAACCGGCGGACCTCGTGGCGGAACGCGGCTGCCGCGTCGACGATGGCCGACATCCTGCCGTCCGACGCCGGCTGCGCTGGCTGTGAGGGGACGTGCTTGCGTCATGTTGAATTCAGTGTGCGCGATATCACGCTGTGACGCTGGGCTGGGCGATCCAAGGGCGCGCAAGTTGACGTGACTGCCAGCTGGTGGGGCAGTACCCGCACAGGTTATGTGCCCTGAAATTGTGAGATGTGCGCGTGCCATGCGACGTATTTTTCGCCATCTGGAGGCTATACAAGATTCGCGCGTAAAGTTGGCAGTGCATGACCGAGCGTTTGGATCTCTTCAGCCATCTAGTACCAATGACCAATATGCCACCCAATGCAAAACCAAAGGCAGAATGCAATACTGTGATATGGATGGACCTTCTGCCTGACTTCCTTCAACTGTCAAAGCGACGAATTGGAAGAGTGAGTAATCGACTGGATGTAATCTTTAGTGCAATGCGAATAAAAGATCGGTTATGCAAGCCGGCTTTTGGCACGGCAAATAAGTTGTATTTTTGTGTTGTTGGATACGACAGACAGTAGAAATGGGCTGTCATTATCGACCGATTTAGACGTTAGAAACGAGCGAATCGTGGTCATTCTAGTCCCACAAGAGCCAGTGCTACTCTGTGTCATACACTAACAGCACATGACCGATTGATGTGGCTCAGACTAACACATCCGGATGTTCGTTGTCAAGGAAACGGAGTACCACATGGTTTATCGTGACGCTCTGGTTCAAATTTTAACTTATGCACTTCTTGGTAATTGGTCTTTGCCGCGTCCTGTGTCGATCGCAAACGTTCACTGGTAACGAAGTCATTCATGCCAGTAGAGGTGCACCTTTTATGCCCACGAACCCGTGCGGGTTAACACAGCTCAAAAGTGGTATATCTCGCCCGTAACAGCTGACAATGGCCCTCAGCAGATTCTGCCGTCATGACGACGGCGATTGCGACAACTGCAGTTGTCGCGGACTCGGGATACACTCTGGGGCTGCCAGTAAGAAATAAGTGTCGTGTTGCTACAAAGCGTTAAGGGTGTGATTTAAACTAAAAAATAATTAAAAGCTACATCCAATTACATACTGATGGTGCTGCAGTGACACTACCCAGTGCTATCAGTAGACTTTATCGTCCTGTGGTTCCACCAGAGTATGTCTGAAATATGTGTTAAATGTGGGATCCACCCTTCAAGAATTGCATCGCACTAGTTCATTTACATTTGTATTGCGATCAGGATTACGTACTTTTTATATAGCTTCAAAGTAATGTACCTGATCAAACGGGAACTAAGAAACCTCTAAGATTATTATTTGCCACATGGCTGAAAATGCCGTACTTCTTTGCGGAGGCAATGAATTTGATACGCAGTTATAATTCCACTTCTATGGTGACGACGAAAACTAATCTTGTTGTCCTTCCCATGGTTCTCCCATCGAACAACGGGACAATACATAGGTGGTACCTAAAATAGTTACACCCTGAAACATTATTGGTCTGATTTGTTTGACGAAATATCGAGCACGCTCGAAGGAGAGGGTGCAGTTACTGGGTTCCCTGCGCAGCCTATCGCCCGGGTCATGAGCTCCGTACCGCATCGTCCAGGGTCACGCCGAGCCGCGCCAGATGGCCCAGCAGACGGTGCTTGGCCGCCAGGAGGGCGAGCGCCGAGGTTCCGCCGGCCGCGCCCTGTCGTAGGAGTCACGGTTCCGTGAACATTTACCCCCCCCCCCCTCCCCGCCCCCGCCCCTCCGCGTAAAGTTACCCGCATCCGTCTACAATCACACTCATACGTGTTAAGTTACATCAACACCGCGTTCCACTACAGTCATCGCAGCGCAGATGAGCCCGCTCAGGCCTTACATCGCGCGTCTGTCTGCGGTTCGCGTTGTGCGCGCGACGGAACCAAGTTACTACAGCAGAAAGACCAAATACTAAGTTGAACAGGACCTTCGGTATTTTTGCGGACCTCCGGCCGTTCCTTTCAATAATTCCAAGGTACTGAAGAGCCATAAAAGCTAGCGTAACTGCTCCACATGCCGCGAGGTACACTGCTCGGAGCTCATGGTTGACGCACTAACAGTTCGCGCCTCCGCCACTTTGCGTGTGGTCTTCCATGCTCAGAACGCTGTCACTGCGTGATACCACAATAGCCAAGCGGAAGCGCCCGCAACTCACCGATTCAACGGACGACCTCAGCAGAGTCATGGTCTCCCACAGGACATCAAGCGCCTTCCGAGTCTCGAAATTATACAGATGCCGATAGTATTCGGTTTCTTGGTCTTGTAATGTCTGGAAGACGTGCAGAAATCTACAGTATGTTCGCAATATCTGAATGAAGCAAATGCGCCCTGGAAGCTTTTGGGGGTATAAACACAATTATTAAAACATATTGCAGCACGGCAGCATGCATTTCCTAACACATCGTCCAAGATCAGCCCACGCTCCCTCACATGACGAAACGTGCCTTTTTTGTCACGTGGTTTGTGCTCACTTTTGATCTCTTCTTACGCCCAATTCGTAGATTTTTTTTTTGGGGGGGGGGGGGTTTGCACGACATTAGCGGTGAGAAATACTTTGGACTGGCGCCCCGAAGTTCTCACCACGCCGGTGACACAACCGGGAGTCCGTTGATAGAAGCTAATAGTACGCCTGCCACTACCAAAGTCGTCGTCTCCGCTGCCTTCATGAGGAAGGAAAAGTGTGGACTAATAATAAGGCTACGCCGAACTGGGACCGAATGCCAGAATGCGCGAATGATTCGACCCGATTATCACAGTCAGTTGGGAACTGGCCAAACACGGTCTGGTCTGGCCCAGACATGCCAAGTGGTCTGGTCTGGCTGCCTATCCGGGTATCACAGGCCGGAGCCAACACGGCCAAACTGTCCGGTGAACTAGAGAAGTGTAACTTTGGTGGTGAGTTCATGACACATTCAACAAGCTGTTTGTCTGCAATGGCCCAAAAAGAGAAAACATCTGAAGAAAACAAAGGCGGACAGTAGTGCCGTTTGGCTAAAGAAAACCAGTTGAATTGAATCGCTAACCTGAGATATGTGCAGGTCGCACTCAGCTGATCCAATGTCACTCTCGGAACTCAGGTTACGTGTCACATAGTCGTCCACGAACGAAACGAACGTCCGGTAAAACCGCACAGCTCCCTCTGGCTGCTCGACGACGTCTTCTGGGGATCAGAATCATCAGCACCATCAACCGAACAATCGACAAGATGATCATATAACAATCATAATGGAACACACTACGGATACGTCAAACACATCCATCACGCACACGTGGAGCTGCGTAATTTTGAAAGAGGAGCGAGGGACGAATTTGCCCACACCACTTCGGCTGTCCTGTTCTCAGTGCCTTTCGGAGACCTCTTGGGTATTAACCTCCCGTGACTACCGAGCCAAGCGTTACTGGGTATGGCCCACCTACACGATACGACGCGTTACACCAGGTGCCCATGAGGACATTATAATCATGGCTGTGATCACTATGAACACTTTCGTGAAGATATCAATATTATATCAAGATATTATTATACGGATATTATGATCAGGTACCTCGACCAAGGAGCTATTATCAGGGCACAGAGGGCTCTGTAAGTCAGGCTGGCTGCTTGGCTGGCTGCTGCAACAAGCAGCACGTTATTCGGTGTCAAGGAGAAACCCGTCATAGTCACGGGCCTGAGGTAAGCTCACCTTATTGACCACCGCTATAAAAGCGCATGATAAGATACAGTAAAAGTGGCGCACAGTTAAGTCACCTGACTCAAGCAGTGTTGATAGGCGCAGCATTTCGGCTGGATGCGTCTGTAGGAAATCCTTGACGGACCCCGACAACGGGCTGCCGGCGCTGGCCTCTGTGGCGGCAAAGTCCACAACCATGGAACCCTCCTTCAGCAGTCTGTCGGCGACACATTTGTGAGGCTACCACGCACGAAGTGTAACGCGTACTGTTATAGGCGAATGGATATATGTGATCCTATTACAGTACGATTTTTTAAAAGCCGCCTGGTGAAGGTCTACATAGGGAGAGGAGCATTTTCACGAATAAACAGTTTTCTGAAGAATCAGAGTTCATGTCTTCTGTTGCACAAGTACTTTGACTATTTTAGCTAGTTTTAGCTGATTATAGGTGTGCAGGCACGTCACCTCATATGACACGTGGTGGTGAGTTTGCGCTTTCCAGCGCTGCAGCTAATCAGTCCAGTAGCATCCAAAACAATATAGGTTACTATGAATAACGTTCATAAGCCATTAGTTAAATACAGCCACAGTCAACATAATCTCTCAGACACGCCCCACCTTTGCTCGATGATGTCAAGCTGCTTAGAATCGCAGACATGATGTGGTCTTTGCACACCAAGGCTGCACAGCGTTGCCCATACATCTGACTCCAAATCTGCGGTCTGAAAACAAGCACTAAATATTACGGTGTGTCCACAAGGTGTAATCTTACTACCAAGTATTCACGGATGGGGGCAACGCAGCCTTATTATCAGCCCTATTGGCTTTTCATCATCGAACCTTACGACTTACACTGCATGCTTTGTTCAGAGCACACAGGCTACAAGTCCAAGAATATTACAAACCCCTCAGGGCAGCCGTTGGGGGCCAGGGCGTATTCATGGGTGCCACTGGCGTCAGCACATAGCTATGTTACCTTCGCCGAAGAGTTCGGAAAAGCCCAGAGATGCAGCAGGTCGACATCTCCTGACAGGTGCAAGATGTTCCGGTATGCATCCAACCGCAACACGTTTCTGTAGCCAAAGTCATGGTATAGGCGATAAACGTCCGTCAGATTGGGAATAACGATACAAGTATCCCTGGACATTTTGTGGCCAGTTTGATGAATATTAAGTGGTGCGCTAAAAATGCTTACCACATGGAAAACCATTATCATTGATGGGAAGTGATGTGATTAAGTATAAAGTTCAAGTGCAAAGGACGAGCTCAATAGGCGTGCACAAACTTAACGAGCTAATGCACGCATTTCATAAGGTATCTCTGAGACGTCTATGCAAACCATTTTGACGTCGGTTGCTAACCAGCACAGAGAAGGTTGTGTTTGCCCGTGAGCTGAACTTCAGTGCTACAAGCGGAGCCGGTCTGGCCCTGCTGAAACTGACCGAGCTCGAAGGCACTGAGTGAGGCTGGGCCCGGCGGAACTGACGCCGCTCGGTGGACCTGACCTGCCCCGGTGGACCTGGCCGAACCCAGTGGACTTGACCAAACCTGGCAGATCTGACCCGTCCAATGGACCTGACCCGCCCTGGCGGACCTGACCCGCCCCGGTGGAACTGACTGCCCCGGTGGACCTGACCTGCCCCGGTGGACCTGACCGCACCTGGCAGACCTGACCCGCCCTGGCAGACCTGACCCGCCCCGGTGGACCTGGCCGAACCCAGCGGACCTGATCGAACCTGGCAGATTTGCCCCACCACGGTGGCCTTGACACGCCCAGGTGGACCTGACACATCCCGGTGGTACTGACCGAGCCTGGTGTACGGTCAGCGGCATCGTCTGGACGTCGGCCTTCACCAGCCAGACCAGCGGCCGCTGGCCGTCGGCGGCGCCTCGCAGGCCGTCCCGGTGTCGGCGCACCTCGGCGGCCAGCTGGTGGAGGCCGGCGGGCGCCGGCAGCCGCGGCCGGTCGGGACCGCACAGCCGCCGGCGGACGGCGGCGCTCGAGCGGCACAGCACGCACGCTGTCGGCATAAGCCCCTGGCAATGGGCACATGTGGGGAAAAGTAGGTCTGTGCTTGGGTCCCCCCAGGAAAACATCTGAGCCTCGGAGTCATGGCGATGCGCCAGATTCCGACTACCGTCGTAAAACAGCATTGTGAAAATTGGGATTGACACTGTCTCTGAGCCAAGTGGGCATGCTCTCATAGGAATTGATTTCAACATAGTTGGAATCTTCAGGAATAGGTTAAGAGCTTTATGGGTGCAAAAAGAGCAGTGGGTTCCCAGTTCCAATATTGAACTCTGCCAGCAGATCAGGGTTGCAAACTACAAAGGGAATTGATTGGTAAGTGCAGTATGCAGCCCAAATTTTTAGACTTTGGTTGTTATTCTGTAACTTACCAGGTTTTAGACAATAAAATATGTTTCAACCATTATTGACAACCATAAACTATCATTCCTATTTGCTATATATTCTGGCTTTTTCACTCTGGCACTGAACTCAAGTGAAAATGTCCTGAAAACTGTGGGTGATAAAACTAGCCAGGCAGTTACTCATTTTTAAAATGCTAAGTTATGAAAATTTTGCTAAAATCTAATGCAGTCACTGCCTTGCAGAAGTTACTTTCCACATCTCTGAACTTACCATGTTCCCCTAAAGGCGATCAATGTGCTCAGAAATGTTATCACAGGTTGATTCTAGGATGATATTGTCCAAGGTGTGACATGCCCAACTGAGACATTTCCCAGACATTATGGGCTTTCATTAACATTCCCTGAGGTAGCTTAACCAGCTACCATCATTTGCTGGGGCTACTGTGATGAGGCTACCAGCTGGTTTGTCCTCTCTTGTTACAAGCTCACAAGTCATGGGTTTTGAGTCTGTATTTAATTTGGTTTTCAGTTGTGATGGTATTTTCTCTTCAGAATGCAATGCTGTGTGACTTAACAAGCTGAAAATGTCACTGAAAAGACCCAGTATTATATTGTTCCATTCCCTTTGGATCGAACAACGAGGAATCAATAGCAGCACAGTTTATCTGGCTTTTGGTCATTGCCTGGTTAAGTGGGATTAAATAAAAGTATGATACTTCACCGCATTGTTTATGACATTTTGACCATTAACAAACCTTACTTTACACAAATGTTCATTGATTTGCTTTACTATTGTCTTGACAATGCTTAAAACTCTGGCATGTGATGAATTACAATGAAAACTGCACATGTACAAGCATATATGTAGGCATTTAACTTCATGCAGCCTGTTGTTTAACTGGTGGTGCACAGGTGCAAGATATAAAATGTGAGCAAAAAATAAATGAAACAAGCAGCATGGGTAACGGTCAGGAAAAGAGAAGAACAGTATCTAATTGTTGAATACAATTGTTGCTAAACAATATTGCTAAAAAAAACTTGGAATAAAATAATTAAGATATGGCTGTAACATCGCTGTAGACCTGCAGCATTCAAGATCACCTGGAGTGTATGGTAGGGTAGAAGAAATAAGTAAGAACTCACCTGAAAGACGCACCATAATTCACAAGTCCTTCAGCGAAAGTGCTTAATGTGTCATTAACTTGCAAACTGGAGCAGGGACATGGTCTAATTTATCAACTCCAGAAATTTAAACACCCAGACAAAACATTCACAACTCACATCCCGAAAAATCCAGCCCAGCCCTTCCCTCGTTAGCGCTCCACGCACGACGGGGCTTTTATATATACAGCTAGAAGAACCGTGGGCTTCATACGTTAAAAACCGCGGCCAGTTATGTACTCATATTTCGTATTTTGCGCACCATATATGCATTGCAAATTGCTACCAATTACGAAGGAATAATATCACCATACTAGGGAGCAAAAATGCCACACGAAGACACGTTCATCAGTCGACGCCCGATTCACATGTATATTCACAATCTACAGCAAAAGTGGCGTGCATGCAGTAGTTCAGGCAGGGCGGGGGGGGGGGCACAAGGGGCACGTGCTCCAACTTAGGGTTCCGAGGGGTCCGAGGAGCCCTTGGAACCTACGATTTAGGGCCCGAGAGGCCGGGCGGAGGTCGCATTCAGGGCCCGGCCCTCAGAGCCGGGCACTCTAATGTCAGCCAGAGTGCCCTGCGCGCTGATCAGGGGCCACCTGAGTCGAAAAGGGTCTTTATTTCGGTCAGACACCACCAGTAAGGCACAATCGGTTCCGTGGCGACATGGACCTGGAAGGTCCATTTTCCAGGCAGGAACAAAGCCGGAGCGAGCGATTTACATTGGTCGGGGCTCCACAGCGCCTAACGCGCCCCTGTGTTGACAAGGGGCTCCGAGTTGCCCAGACGCAGTGTTCGAGGAGGTCTCAAGAGCCTAGAGGGCCCACCGGGTCCCACGATCAATGAACTTCCCCAATGGATCTTAGACTTTCCAACCGGGTCCGACGGCCCGATTGGAAAGTTTAAGGGCATAAATGGCTGGTCGGAATATTATTCATAGGCCCCAACCTGCAAAGACAGACCCTCAAATAACGGTCACAAGTCCCTTTGCGCCGATCGGGGGCCCTAGAGCTGATATGGGCCGTTTTGTCAATCAGGCGCCACAAGAACCGCACAATCGGCTTTGTGTCGGTGTGGGTCTGGGGTCCAGCTTCCCAATCAGCTATAAAACCGAGGCCAGTGATCTACATTGATCGGGGGCCTTGTATCTCTCAGGGGCTCACAGCGCCTAACAGAGGGTCCTGTACTCGCAAGGACCTCGAACTGACCTGGGGAAGTGTTCAGCGAGGCCCGAAGAGGGACCCGGGCGGCCCACCAGAACCGACAACCGAAGGCCAGGCTGCAGAATCGAAAAACCGTAGGGGCAAATCAACTTCCTCCCGGCCGAGCGCAGATACCTGTGACACGATATGATACGATAATGCGAGGCGACGATAGTCCAAAAAACCTTCCATTCTTAACGCCAACACCACGTATCGAAATCCGGACTTTCTGATCCGGTAAAAAAAAAAACGCCGTGCAAGAGATTCAGTGTTGGCTTCGACCCGTGATTTTAAGCCAAAGGGCCCGGCTCTGATTTCGCGCTTTCGAGCTTCGAAACCGCTTATCTCGTCTTCGGTTTCGCACGTACAAGGCTCAAAGCAGCTGACTTGGGGCTCAACTTCACATTCTAAACATACGACGGCTCTGGTTTCGGTTTCAGATTTGCATTTCCGAGCTTCAATGCCACTGGCTTCAGTTCCGACTTCGGCCCTCAAGTTGTTGACTAAGCTTCAGATTCAGCTCCGAAGCCAGATGCAGGTGGTTTTGCCTTGAGGAATGCTTTCGTTCTTTCCGGAGCTCGGATGCAGCCTCTCATTTATACTTCAAAATTTATTTTTTGAAAGATGAACTGATCAGCTACATACATCGTTCGACCGAGCGGAAGATATGCCCAGCCACACGTACGCCAACCAGTGGTCTGATGGCGGTAATGTGATGGCGACATTGAGGCACTTGATGCACCCAGTAAGCGACCATGCATTGGGCCTGAGGAAAACAGACCACCTCGCCGAGTTCACGACTTAATACGCACAATTTTGTGCTCACTGACAAACTGTCGGCCCACTTCGCACCAACTGGTGTAATCACCATTGGCCCATGAACGCGCTGGAATTTCGCAACAAACGCCACGATTCGCAAGGACGGCCAGACGAAACACACCGTTACACAGGACGAAGACTAAACTGAAATGTGTGCCATTCACCGATGTCTCGGCACCAAGAGCTTGGGAGTGTTGACCCCGGCCAACGCCCGCTCTGTCGTCCGCTGAGCCTGCCGCCGCCAGGCGGACGGCGCTCACGCGCCGGGCATGTGCGGCAGCTCATCGTACGTGCCCTCGCCCGTGACCAGTACGCAGACGGGCTCGGGCAGGCAGGGCCCCGTCAGCTCCACCACGGCCGAGTACAGCGCACAGATGCTGGCGCGAACGTCAGCTCCAGGTGTGTGCGGCCGCGCGGCGGCAGCACGCCCAGCTCAGGCGCCAAGCGGAACGTGGCGGCGTCGGGCCGGCGCGGTACCGTGCGTGTGCTGCGTCGACGCGCGGAGCGGCTCGTCGCCGACGACTGCGGCGACGGCAGGCGCGGCTCGAGGCGCGAGGACCAGCTGAGCTCGCCGAGCGTCGGGTTGGAGATGTAGATGCCGCGCCGTGCCACGTCACCCACCGTCACCTGTGCGAACTCGACGCTCGCGACCGACACGTGCAGCGCCGGCAGCACGAGCGTGCACTCGACCGGGAACGCCTGCACGTGCGAGTCCATGTACTGGAGCACGAGACGCGAGGTGAAGCGAACGCGCTCTTCGCCGAGCTCCGTCTCGATGAGCTCCACCTGGACGTCGTGCAGGCAGTCGGCGGCGGCATGATGCTCGGCCGCCATCTCCGCCCGGCGTGAGCAGAGCAGATTCTGCAGCGACTCGGAGGTGCAGGGGGGCAAGCGCCGACTCGGAGCGGGCCGTCCGCGCCGCGTCGTCTGCCACCGAGCCGGCATCCGAGACGGACGCCGCGCGTTCCGAGCCTGCCAGCGGCCGCGCCGTCTCCTCCTCGTCACCACTGGCACATGACTCGGCGAACGTACAGTGGTCGCTGGTCTCTGAGGCGGTTTGCGACGACAGCAGTGTCGCCTCGCCGCTGGACGAGAACCGCACGCGCTGCGGCCCAGCCAGCTGCTCCGTCAGGCAGAAGCGCAGCAGCGCACGCGAGCAGACGAACTCGATCGTCAGCTGAGTGTGGCCGCTGCGCGGTACGGTGCAGCGATCAGGCCACTCGACAGTACCGCGCGGCGAGGCGGCGCGCACCACCACGAACGGTAGCGTACTCCAGCACAGCACCTCCACGTCCACCTGGTGGCGGTTGGTGAGCGTGAGGCGCGACAGCAGGCGCGGCCGGCGCGGCCCCTCCACCAGCGCCGTGACGGGCGCCACCAGGCGCACCGCCTCCTCCGGCCCGGCCAGCACGGGAGCCGGCCGCAGCCCGACCGCCGCCGGCTCCGGGTACGTCACGTCCAGATAGGCGGTGCGCAGCTGCGCGCGCAGCTGCACCTGCAGCGGCCGGCGCCGGTAGCCGTGCGCGCGGGTGACGTGGCCGCCGTCGGGGGTCTGGTCCTGCGTCCGCAGCGACATGTGCGCCGTTAGCCAGGCCACCACGTCCAGCGGCTGCTGGCGCCGCTTCCACTCCCACTGTGAGCTGGCCGGCGGCAGGCATACCGGGTGCAGTTGCACCAGCAGCCAGGCCTTGGCGCGCGCCGGCACCACGACCACATCGGGTGTGACCGTGTAGTAGGCCTGCTCCTCCTCGCCGAACACGGGCCGAAGGCCCAGGCGCAACTCCTCGGACGGCGTGCGCCACTCCCACAGCTTCAGTGCCGGCTCGAAGTCGGCGCCGAGCGAGACGTGCGCGCGGAACGGCGGCGGCCGCGCCTCGCACGGCGACGTCAGCGCCACGGCCATATTCAGCTGGATCGGACACGGCGACGCGTTGTTGAGGCACAGGTGGCGCTCGACCGGTGGCGCGCCGTACAACTGGCACCCGAAACGCACGTGGTTGGAGCCCGTGTTGACCACGAGCACCGGCGAGCCGGTGACGCCGACGCGCAGGTCGACGCACAGGTCGGGAATGCCGTCGCCAGACACGACCAGTTGGTCCTGGTACCAGCCCCACATGTCGGCGCAGCAGAAGACGCGCACCAGCGTCTGGCTCTGCGCCGGCACGTGGAAGGTGGCCGGCCGCACCAGCAGCGCCAGCCCCCGGCCGTCAGACAGCAGGTCCGACCACACGTCCTTCCGTTCCAGGTCGTTGATGCGACGCACCTGCACGAGCAGGATAGTATGTCGTCACACGTGATGCTCCACGGCATCAAAGCAGTGAATAGTAAGCCGTATTGGTTGCCAAGACGTTGGTGTAGTTTTGGAGATAGCGAATTTCGTTGGTTGGCGAAATAAGGAGCGTAATGTTGAAAATCCTTTCAAACTTACTACACTCAGAGTGACTTATTCCAAAGAACGCTTCGCTATTAAAAAAGGAAAACTTAAGGTTATCACTCAAGTTTTTCAGCTGGTCGCAGGGCTGCAGGTGACAGCCGAATTACTGATCCAAATTGTGTCAACTTTAATTTCCATGGTTCAATCAATGACGGCCTCGTAGCACACTCTTGGAGGGAAACTGTGCAGCTGGAATAAATACATGAATGCATGCATGCACACACTCAGCGTTCAGTGAATCCAAATGTGCTCCATCTTCAAACTCATGTTTGTCGCGTCATCCACGACAGCAACGCTATAAAAGTAGTACGTTGACAAAGCCGCGACTGGACATGATCAAATCGAGTCACCCGACTTACCTCGACGGCCAAGGGTGGCTCGCCGACGCAGCGCTCCTGCTCCCGGCCCGGGAAATTCAGCACTCGTGCCGAACAGGTTGTGGAGATCGGCGTGTCATTGCGCACGTGGAACTCGCGGACGACTACCGCGCGCACGTCCACATCGTGACCAAAGAGCAGCACGAGCGGGCCGCAGCCCGCGTCTTCGGCTTCTAGCAACTCCCACTCCTCCATCAGCTCCTCCACAGTCGGCTCCGGCGGCGGCGGTGGTGGCTCTGGCTCTTTTGGCTCAGGCTCCGGCTCGGGCTCTGGAGGCTTGGGCTGCTCCTCCTTCTTAGCACCCCTTCCCTTGCCCCTCTTGCCGCCTTTCACCCAGCTTCTTCTTACCCTTCTTGGTCTTGGGACTGGGCGGCGCCTCTGGCGGCGGCGGCGCCTGCTGCCCACTCTCAGGGGGTGGCTCCTTTTCCCGTGCCGCCAGCTCTTCAGCCTCGCGCGCCTGTCGCTCCAGCTCGCGGCGCCGGCTGCGCCCTAACACCTCCCGGCCCTCCCCCAGGTCGGGCACACCGGTCGGTCGGTGACCCCAGTTGGGTGCGATGTGCACCGACGCTGAGAGTGCCATCACGTCGCCGTAGAGCGTCAGGTACGTGGCGTCCGAGCCGTCCGCCAGTCGACACGGGACGCAGTAGTAGCCGAACGGGCCGGACTGCAGACCGGTCACGCTCATCTGCGACACCAGCGTGGCCCACGGCAGCAGGACGCCGGTCGCCGGCTCGATCTCCACCTCCACCTGGTCACACGGCGGCACGTCCCACCGGAACGGCACGTCCAGGTCGCACGTGTTGGTCACGAGCACCATCAGCTCCACGGTACCGGCCACGTACGCCTGCAGCCGGTGGAAGGCGGGCGTGACGGAGAGGGAGAGGTGGCACGCCTCGGCGCCGATCGACACGGTGCTGCTCTGCGCGCTGCCCTCCACGCACACGTCCAGCACCATGTCGTAGGAGGCCGGCGCGCGCGGCTCGAAGCCGATCGTGACCAGCGCCTGCTCGCCAGCGTGCAGCAGGCCGGCCGTCGGGCTCACCGAGAACGGGTCCGAGCGGCTGTCGAAGCGCCAGCGCCGCTCGGCCGGCTGCTCGGACGTGCGCTCGACGATCCGCGACGTGCGCCACTCGAGCGGCAGCTTGGTGGTGTTGGACAGCGTCAGCTGGCGCTCGGCGCGTTCGCCGACGCGCGTGCGCGCGAAATCGAGCCGGTGCGTGCTGACGCTGACCTCAGGGCCGAGGAAGCTGGCCACCACCGGCAGGCAGACGCAGCGCCGGAACTGACGGCTCACGCAGCGCAGCTCGGTGGTCAGATGCAGCCCGCGCGCCGACCAGAGCGTCACGGTCGTGGGCAGCCGGCTGTGCGCCGGTATCGTACCTTCGGTGGGGCTCACGCAGACCAGCAGATCGCCGCGCCTCAACGTCTCCCATGTGAACGGTGCCGCGTAGTCCGAGTCGTTGACGAGCGCCAGCGACCGGCTCACACGAGTCCAGAACGGCACGTGGTCCGGCAGGCGCAGCATGGGCGGCTCCAGCGACAGCGGCAGCGGCTCACAGCGGCACAGCGTCTGCACCTCGTATGCTAGCACGTCCCAGAAGCGCCGCGCGTCGGCCGGCGACAGCGAGCGTGACCGCTCGGCGCGCCGCTGAGGCGGTGCGTGCAGGTCCAGCCGGCCGTGCCGCAGCAGGCAGCCGGCCGAGGCGGCGCGCCGATGCACTCGCCGTTCTAGGCGCGACACCAGACCGGCGCGCTGCCCGTCCGGGCCGAAACGCACATCGTCGGCGGACAGCGCCATCTCGGGCAGCCCCTCCAGCAGCAGGCTCCAAACGACACGCCGCTCGCCCAGCCAGCGCGTGCGGCACGCGAACGTCACGTCCACCTCCTGGAATGGCAGTAGCGTGCCACGTGACGGCATCACTCGCGTGTCGCAGCCAGCAGCCACGTCCGCTGCGTCCGTGCCGTACACGTCGATGGCGGCCGGTCGGCTCTGCCAGCGATAGGCCAGTTCGACACCGCTCGTGTTGCGCAGCCGGAGTGTGCGGCGCGACTCCAGCTCCGGCAGCGTGGTCGGCAGGCGCAAGAAGTGGGCGCAGTACTTGTCCGCGCGTTCCCCGACCGTCGGCTCGTGGAACTCGCCGCGCGCTGCCACCATGCCGGCCCCGCCGCGCACGCCACAGCCGCGCACCGTAACGTGCTGAACCTGCGCGTTGTCACAGACGAGCGTCATGGTCTCGCGGTGTGCGCTAGCCGCCACCGGCAAGAACGACACCTCCAGCTCCACACTCTCGCCCGTGTCGAGCGTGAAGCGGTTTGGGAGGACAGCGAAATTCGCGCCGCCGCCGCCGTCGTCGCCGTCGCTGTCGTCGCCTGCCGGCAGCGCGCCCGGCCAGGCGGCGCGGCGCAGTACGCAGAACTGTCCGTGGCCTCCCTCGTTGGTGACTAACACGCGACGGCGCTTGCGGCAGCCCACCAGCGCCTCGCCCAGCGCGATGTTGGCGTCCATGCGTAGCACAGGCGGCCGATGGCTGACGATCAGCGGCACGGCCAGCTCGCCCAGCGGCGTCATTATCAGCACGCGATCGCGGTAGGTGCGCCGGCGGCGGGCGCTGAATGTCAGCCGGACGTCCAGCGAGAGGCCCGGCGCCAGCGTACACTGCGCACCCGGAAACGTGATCCGCGTCAGCTGAAACTGTGGCGTGGCCGGCGGCACCAGCCGCAGCCAGAGCAGCGAACACGACACGTTCTTGACACGCAGACTCAGCTCGTAGTCGGTGTCCACCTGGAAGCTGTCGAGGCACAGGGAGGGCGGCTCCGCACGCAACACCTGGGCGGTGCCGCTGAGCTTCGCCCGGCCACCCCGCGGGTTTTGGTCACCAAGTTGTGGCAAAATTGTCTCCAAACCGGCGAGAGAAGTCCTGACGGCCGATGGCCGGCTTTCGCGTCTTTTCTCTGTTGCGGGCTTTTTCGACTGCTCACTGTCGCTGGGGATTGGAGGCGCACAGAAGTCCTCTGGCACCAGTAGCTGGTATTTACGAAGTGTGGAAGAGTCGAGCGCGGTGAGCAGCTTGTTTTGCCGCAGCACGTCCAAAGAGGGTGCATGGGCTGGCCCCGGTGGCTCTGCTGGTGTGCCCACCAGCCGGACGGCACGTGCCTTCAGCAAATGCTGCTCAATGTCCTGCAGACTAGATCGTGTGTTTACATACGCGTCTCGAAGCTCCGTTAGCTGGTTTACGAAGTCGGCATGAAGTGGGTCCGGACGCGCTGGAAGGCTCGTCTCCAGGTGGCCAATGATGGCTTCATCAGCCGAACTTTGGCGATGCTGCTCTCCGTACAGATGACATAGCGTTGACGACAGGTCTTGAGACCCAGCCACGAGGGGACGCAGTATGTCTGGCCGAGGCAAATCTTTGTCCATTTTTAGATAATCTTAAGCTTTGCTTATCTGACACCCTCTACACGCTTGTAATACCGGGGAATGGGCCAGCGTTCATCACCCCGTTTAGTTCCTGGTCTCCGCTGTTGGCCTAAGGTCGACAGTTCAGTCAATAATTTGCCTGAGTTTGGTATTCCGCGAAGTTCAATTTTCCGCGCTCGTCCGTCCGTGAACGTTTAGGGTTATTCGCCCGGCCAAACGCAGGGAAGCCGCATTGAATGCCGTCGGTGCGAGGGATAATCACCTTTCATACAGAATCATCTGATCTTTAAACATATATCGAAGGTGCAACTGCTGGTGACACAACCCGACTCAAGGCGCAGGAGCTGACCGAATCCCACTCATAATCATTTCATTCTACCCTGTTGACCGTAGCGCGCCACGAATGCCGCAAATCACGACCGCAATCACCGCAAGTATCGCGTCATATTTGCCTTGGTCGTTTCCATGGATACCACAAACTAAACATTCCACGCTCCCACGTAAGCGGTAGATCACCAAGTAGGCCCACGCTGATTGGCTGTAATGCAAAGCATTTAACATACTGATTCCTGAAGCGCATTTGTAACTAGGATTGCACTTACGGTTGGCGAGAATTGTTTGCCACCGCGTGTGTCCCAACCGGTGCGAATTAATAGCAGGAAAGGTATTCATCCAAAATATTTCTGCGCGGACCGTTGCATATTTTCGAGCAGATTGAATCGGGGTCAGTGTTCCTTCATTTTCATCCGCCGCGTCGTTGTAAAGCGGCTGGGGTTCGAGTGATCGTGGTACTTACGTTTGAGGAGAAGGTATAGATATGTTCAAGAATACATTTCAAAGTGGATTCCTCTCGATATTGTACAGCATTGGAAGTAAGCCACTTCAAATCTGGGATAAAAAGGTCAGTGTCCAATGCGGTTCGTTTGCAGTGTCCAGTAGGGTAGTAATATTTTCAAGGCATTGAGTGTGCAGAGTGTAGGTACTCAGAAAATGCTCACTTGTTGGTTGTGCTCTTTGCTCGTATGGCATCATACACTGCTGTTTCTGGGCGATTCTGTAGCATGCACCACTTTTGTTGGATAGCATATGATGTTTTTTATGAACTGAAGTCCTTGTCATGCTGTCATGCTGCTCTGCTAGTCAAAGCCCAGGCTCAGAATGATTTGTTATATGTGTTAGATGATGTTCAATTACATCAATGCCAAGCTATCATGACCTGAGGTATGCAAGCTGGCTGGTGTTTTAAACCAATGCTGAGTTGAAAGTATTTGTACTTAATATAATGAAGACAGAAATATAAGGTTTTGGAAGCTCCTTGCACTGTAACAAACATAAAATCATGCTGCACAATAGATTTTGAAAATACTGAGCTCTGTATCCTGCTTTTGCCAGGTTCGCAATGGGCACATCAAGAGGATAACTGACAATGATATCCAGTCATTAGTACTGGAGATTGTTGGTACAAATGTCAGGTAGGTTGGTGCTTCTAGTGTTTATTTCCATTCATGCCCACACACTGAAAACCAACCATGGTGCTGTAGCCTTAGGCATGAGCTTAGTTTTGTTAATGAAATTGGGTGTGTCTTCCTGTTATTACTTAAGCTGGACACATCAAATGCCTTGGCCCCCCAGATTTTGACTGATTTGGAAAATAGAGCCAGAAAGAAACTTTTGTCAAATTTTGTATTTCATGTGACTTGGATGCTGCCAGAGAATGGGAAGAAAATTAGTGCTGCCTGAGCCTGGACTGAGGAGTAAACAGCTATAGTGAGCTGTGCAGTTACCAGGGAAGCAGTGTTTATAGACAATTTTCTTCTTCACAACCAACTTTTTTCCCAGCACTACCTTCATCACATGCCCGGCAGACCCAAAGAAGACCCTGGGAATCAAGCTCCCCTTCCTGGTGATGATCATCAAAAATCTAAAGAAGTATTTCACTTTTGAAGTCCAGGTAAAGTGATGGTAGTTGGGGACATAAACCAGCTATTGTCAGGTGACATTTTAGTTTTCTTCAGTTTTGTTCTTGATATAAGAGGAAGTGGCTTATAAGACTGTATGCAGTTTACAAGCATAATAAGCTGGACCCAGAATTTGTCATTGGAATGTGGGCTGTGTAGGCAGATTACAACTTTCACTAGTTTGATGTAACCTGACCTGCGCACTATGAATGTTTCTCAAATTGTTTGTGGGAAGTGGTGCACTGGCACCCTGAGACATCACAGCTATTTTGCCTACCTTTTGCTGGATGGTTGGCTCGCTATGGTTTGAAGCTCTGGTTGGCCATTTGAGCTCTAGGGGGCATGACTGCACAGCCTTTCAGCACCCATAGTTTGAAATACAAACTGGCTGAATCTGACTGATGTTCTGACATGTCATGCTTAAACATTTTGCTAATAGCCTATGCATGATGCAAGTGTGGAAATGGTACATGCTTGACATCATAATGAAAGGAAATCAGGACAAAGATTGGGCATAAAAAGTGGAAAAAATGTTTTGGTAGACTGGCCAGCATTTTGGGGCATTCTTAGTAGTTTATGTTGTATATCAGCAACATGAGAAGATAGCACATGAGTCTGGTTGCACAGTGTGGAAAACTTAATGGTGTACAGATGTACATATCGCTAGCCAATGTCCACCTCAGCGCAGTCTGATCCAAAAGCTATTAGGCGTGTTGTTAATTGACAGTGAAGGGGCAGATGTGAGGCTTTTTCAAAGTTGTCTACTGTATACCATACTCTTGTTTCCATTACGAAGTCTCCAGCTCATCATAAATGACATTTTGTGAGCTGTCATGGAGTTAAACCCATCTTGGCTGGAGTTGTTTGCTAACTAGGACCCTTGCAGAGATCAGTTCTTCATAGGATGAAGATAGACTGAACTGGGTCACTTCACAGGTAGAACCCATCCTAAGCTACACTTAGAGCCATGGCCCACACAACACGACAGACTGAGACAATAACAAAATTGAATTTCCATTGGTACTGTTGTTGCACTGAGTAGTGCATGCTCTTTCGCTCAGGTGCTGGATGACAAGAACGTGCGCCGGCGCTTCCGGGCGTCCAACTACCAGTCCACGACCCGAGTCAAGCCGTTCATCTGTACGATGCCCATGCGACTGGATGATGGCTGGAACCAGGTGAGCAGTAAAACCGGGCAGTTCAAGTGTGTTGAACCCAGTTCATTATCGCCAGTAAATCACGTGTTGTATGCGACCAGCTTGGTGTCATCGATGGAGCCAGGTGTGCCAATGGTTACAAATCGATGGTTCCTCACATGCAGAAACGTTTGCCATCTTCAGTCAAATGCTGCTGCTTAGTAAGCTTGTAGTTGGTGTTATAGAACTTCAGTTAATGTGAAATGTGCAGATTAGTATTCAGTTTATAAGTTCACAGCCCTGACCTTAAGACCTGAACCCATCTAGCTTCTTAGCTACACGGCCGCGAAGGTGTGCAGATTTTTTCGTGCAGACTATTTTTAGGTCACCCAGGCATCGATGATATGGCAAGAATGTCATTTAAGCCCTGTCATTTCAATGGCCATGCAGCAATTAAGGCCAAGAAAGGCATAATTGTTGAGTCGTTGATGTCTGGCGTTCCTGGGTACCATTTCCAGATACAGCGGCCGTTAACTGGCTCCCAATCAATGTTATGCAAGGTATGGTGACATAGTAATGACATGTGGAGGAGCATGTTTACTAAACAGAGAAATTATGGTGGTTAGAGCAGTCTTCTCCACACAAGAGTGTATGAATAGTTATAAGTGAGCTCATTTCATCACATCTGGTGCTTCAATGTCTCCAAATCTAGCACATTCCCTTTAAGAGTACAGAAGAAGCATTGTTTGTGTGAAGGGTTCAGGAAGGGGTAAGCCTAGGGTGCCATGATGCACACCTTGCCAAATCTGCTCCGAATCACGTCTAAGGACGGACGCTATGTGACCGATACGTTTGACAAAGGCGTTTGCCCCTGGCCTCTTGCACTACATTACGCCCTGGGTGCCGGAGACTGTCCATTACACAGCGAGAGTACATCCCTCGTCGACGTGTCTGTCGATGGCACGATCATGATCTCTAACGTGCAAGGCTTCAAACACCATGGGTTTCCACTGCATCTAACAAGAAAAGTGGTGGTGCGTATCAGCTTTTCTCTTGTTAGACTACTGTCGCGGTCTTTTCTGACATACAGTTTTCACACGCTGACTGAACCGTCTGGAAGTCATTAGCAGCATATTAGGAATGACCCGGCATTTTTGACCAAGAAGAGTAGGCGTTGTGTGTTGTCGAATTATTCTCATAGTTTTTGCAATATTTCAGGGGGAAAATATTGTATAAATGAAGCCGGCATTGAGATGCCCAAAGCAACGTTGGTGTGTGTGCGTATGTGTGTATGCGAGGGGGGCGTTACAAAAGAACGCAGATCAGCGCCTGTACAGCACTGAGTACTCGTGACCGGAAGCTGCACCGTATCGTGATCGTACCCTCTCCGCCGCGCAGATCCAGTTCAACCTGGCCGATTTCACGCGGCGCGCCTACGGCACCAACTACGTGGAGACGCTGCGTGTGCAGATCCATGCCAACTGCCGTATCCGGCGCATCTACTTCTCGGACCGGCTCTACTCGGAGGACGAGCTGCCCGCAGAGTTCAAGCTCTACTTGCCCGTCCAGTCCAAGGCCAAGGTGTGAGTGGGCCACATGCGGCGCGTGGCCATAGCACGTGAGCTGCTGGCGACAGCCACGAAAGGGGCGTAGCTGCTGAGATGGGATTTCCGCCAAGTTTGGTTTGGCTCGTTCTCTTGGCACGTCCGGTAGGATGCGAGGAAATTGTCACCGTTGGTCGTGCTGCCATTGGTCATCAACGAAATTGGAGCCAGCTGGCGGCGAAGGATTGACTGCATCTTGTTGAAATGCTGTTTTGATATCGGTATTATCCTGACCCCAAGGCGCTCGGGCTGTAGTGTCTTCTTTGGTCCGTTGGGTTCGGCTGTTTAGATCTCAAGCCCAAATCTGGTGCTGAAGCCAGGACGAGTCCGGAGGCTTGAGACTCACAGACGCGTTGATGCCAGCAATGCTCGGGCTTTCGGGATCCCGTCGACTCGCGTGTCTCCCCCGTTGTCAACCGGGACCGCTGCAGGGCCGGTTAGGCGCGCTTACGGGCTGCGCGTGGTGCACCAGGCTACGTTCGAGCACAATCTGTGATGTTTCATGCTCTGTTTGCGTTGATGGTCCATTGACTGTTTATCATTATGTTCGTGCATAAATCACCCGTGTATCTCATTTGACGTGTTTTCCACCGAGTTCAATGGAAGGAAAGACGCCTCGCGGCAGGCTTGCTTATGAAGGGAATCAGGTTTTGAATGGAATCAAGAATCGCATTTCCTCTGAATGAACCTTGATACGAATCCCTAGCTCTTGCGATGACTCAATACGACTTGACTGTTGACAATACGACTTGACTGTTGATTCTTGTGACTTGATTCGGCGGAATCAACTCGGGCCCCAAACAGTCAGAAGTCACCAGCGAAACTAAAGGTTCAAAGGCGACACTTTGAAGAACTGATGGTAATAAATGACGGAATGGATGTCAACCTGTCTAGTAATAAGACGAGACTCAATTCGATTCTTAGAGATGATTATTTTACATTGAGCTCAAGCATGGAACCTTTGCTTGCATGTTTTATTCTGCCAAAATGCTGTGTTGATAATATAATGAGTTGGTAGGAATAGCTGTAGCCAAAACTTTCAAAGGTGTTTACGGGTGCCTGGAGTTTCATGGAAACAAATTTTGTCTTCACACACATGAATAGGGCCGCGAGTTATTTCCTCATGCCACTAATTTCGTTTTACATGTTGACCTGTGCTGCTGTGCTGCCGCATGGTAGGTCCCTCTCTTCATGAGGCAAGTCCTACTTTGCCCATTGCACTATGCATCTACAAAGAGTGGGCGAATGGGCCCTGCCAAAAAAGAATGGGCATTTTTACCTAGTATCAGGCAAACGTAAATGAATCTTGTCAGTTCCAATAACCGAATTCAATGACATCTTACTTGTTGCAGTCTTAGTAAGACCATACAATATGTACAAAACCGTCATTTACTTGCATTGATGGTGATTCTACTGCGGCCATAGAAGGTGAAAGCAGCTTCGTTCTTTCACTTAACTTCACAAGTAGCTTCGTTCTTTCACCTTCGATCGTCCTGACGTCGGCTTTAAGCACGTGCCACAGGGTGGGACGCACTCCTCCGCAAAAACGCACTGATCATTGCCGGTTTGGGCACGGATTTTTGCGTCTGTGGGTCAGATTTGGCGTGCAATTTCGGCCGCTCGAACGCTGCTGTTAAGCACTTTGTAATTTGTTGGCTTGCCAGTGAGGCCTGCAGCAGGGCATACGTTTCTTGCCGTGTTTTTTTTAAGAACTTACCGTTACCCACTGGGTGTGTTCTCGAACCAGGGAGGCGTGATTGTTTTTTACGGTATTAAGAGTTTTCACCGGGTCCGCATCTTATTGTCCAAGGTACAGAATGTCCAAAGGTACAGAATGTCCAAAGTACAGAATGTCCAATGTACGTATTGTCCAAGGTACAGACTGTCCAAAGACCAAGGCTTCCAAACTAGTTCCTGGAGCGGCCGCCAGGGTATGAATAATTGTCTTTGTTGGCAGACCGCGTTGCCCCGCCCAGCGCCGGCCGCGCGCATACAGTCGATACCATTACGAAGACCACGCGCTTGAGGCTGGCTGGCCGGATTACAAGCTTAGAAACAAATCCATGTCCGCTCCACGACGCAATGGAGCCGGATGGAGGTGGCGCCCCGAGCATTAATCGCTGATTGTCAAAGTTGAGCTCGGTAAGGTTTGTCTGCATTTTGGGCTGTTAAAAAAAACATTGAGAGGAGGCGGAATATGAAATGGAATTGCAGCCGCGCAGTGCCCGAAAATATGATTGTCGAAATCGACACCAGCAGTGGGCAATTCTGGACGCCGATCTTGACTGCTCGATTGTCAGCATCATTCAGACATAAGGTCGGGTTAATAAGTTCAAACAAGATCAAATAACAAATGAGTTTGGATTAATGATCTTTTCCGGCATCGCACACCAGCATTGTGGTTATTGTTGGCGAGCAAACGGGCCGTCGCTGTCGGCGCGGCGGCGGCGGCTCCGCGAGGGTGTGAGCGGCCCCTCTGCCGATTGGTTCCCACCATCTGGGGCCCATAAACCCACGTGGGTTTATGGGGACACGCGGGCGGGGGGACGCACGGTCCCTGCCGAGCAGTCCACACTCAGGCTCCGACGGCGCGGCTCGACGCGAGCCGCGACAGCGTGTACGACGACGACGACGACTTCGGAGTGTGCGACCCTTCCAACCCCTCTCATACCTTTGCCTTGCAGCTCTTTGGCTAATAGAGACTCTTTGCTTTCAACGTCTCAAGTCAATGGTCCTCCGGAATACTAACGAACTCTTTCGCACGAACAGTTACTATGGGATGGTTTTGTCAGCAATAGCAAGCTAACATCAAAAACGTTTCGTGTTCAGTAGTGAATATCGTTGAATGAGAGTGAGCATTCTTCAATACGGTACCATAGAAACACCCCATATCCAGCACGTACGGAGAGCTGATCGAAATACAGACAGTTAAATTTGAAATCATAGATGACCAGCACCAAGAATTAGGTCAAGGTCTTCAAGGCAATGACTAAAGCGCCATTCCTAGATGTACTTCACGTGAAAAACTCTGCTCATGTGACGTCCCAAGATAATGCATGCTTACTTGCCTCGAACAAAGTTGACGATTGCGCGCAACAATTTAAATATATGAGCGTTTGTCTCCTGCCGGTAAAATGTCTCCTTTACAGCTAGTGTTTCTTGTGCAATGCCGCAGCTATCAAACTACGCACGCGATGCAATTACCTAATTCGACATTAGGTATACTTAACGTGTTTACCTGTCACGTTTCCCTCGTAACGATGTACACACCTTCCGTATACGTGCGCGATTGAGGTGTCCAATGAACCGGTCTGAAATCTTACCTTTTGATTATCCCACCTGAACTTCCCCTGTAATAAAGTTCCTGGGGATTTGATATCTTGCCCATTTTTCATTTCATTTCCAATCATTTGATGCATACATGACGAACTTTTACCGCCAACGGAACATTGGGTTTTCCTGGAGCATTCAACTGGAATGAAATTAAGATGAGGACTGCTAGTCATGCTACCGTAAGGTCGTGCATATTGTTTGCGTGGGGTCCCGTATTTACTATTATATATATATATATATATATATATATATATATATATATATATATATATATATGCATATAATAGATAGCATAAGTTTTGGAACCCATGTTACACTGCGCAGCCCTTAGAAAACGAGGGCTAAAAAGCTATAAAAAACTAAGGCTAAAAGCTGGCGCTACTTTGGCTAGAAAGTTGGGGATGTAAGGTACATGTCCCTTTTATCTTCAAATTTAATGGCATAATTTTTTTGGAGGGGGTCCCAAGCGGGCAGCGGGGGCACCGGCTCGACTCCAGCGGGCACCACAATATTGCGTGCCCCCCCCCCCCCCCGCCCCCCTTCATGAAATACCGCCCCCGTTTGTAATCATTCCGCTGCGCAGTAGTAGCGCGGTATATCCCCGTTCAAACATTACGTCATCTACCAAGACGTGCTCCACATATGCAGAATGCGTTTGCGTCACTTTTTACGGCTTCTTTTTGGACATGAAAAGGAATTGCATCGAGGAGGCGCAACACAAGCGGCGCCGGACGCTCGTTTTTACGGGTGTTCGTGCGTAAGAGTTCGTTAGTATTCCGGAGGACCATCGACTTGATTCGAAAACGAACGTTGAAAAGGAAGATTGTATTAGCCAAATACTTGCAAGGCAAAGGTAAGAGAGGGGTTGGAAAGGCGGCGTCGCACACTCCAAGGTCGTCGTCGTCGTCGTAAACGCTGACGCGCCTCGCGTCGAGCCGCGCCGTCGGAGCCTGAGCGCAGACTGCTCGGCAGGGACCGTGCGTCCCCGCCCGCGTGTCCCCATAAACCCACGTGGGTTTATGGGCTCCAGATGGTGGGGACCAATCGGCAGAGGGGCCGCTCACACCATCGCGGAGACGCCAATATCGCCGATGGGATGTTCGCAGAGCGGACTGTGCATACTTCCAAAATTATATAGATGAGGCACACCCTTCAGGCACAACTCCCGACCTCCCTACATTTTTAAGCACTATTTTAGCCTCAGCGCACCAGTTCGTTCCACACACTCATCGTCGACCAGGGCACAAACGTGCGCCCTGGTGGAACGATGAGTGTCAGCGCACAGTAGCCCTGCGACGCCGGGCTATGCGTGTTTTTCGTAATTGCATGTGCAGAGCTCATGAAGAGGAGTTCCGCAGAGCTAAACATCAAGTCGATATAATCATTAAACGCGCAAAACAGGAAAGCTGGGAGCAATTTCCAAATACGTTCAACCGCTTTACCCTTCTATCTAAAATATGGTCACCGATTAGGTGTTTCACAAACAAACGCACGCCACATTATAAAACCCCGCACCTTGTAGTCAGCAACCAACACTACAGCATCCCATTTGAAGTCGCCACAAAATTTGTCACACACTTCGCCCGTGTATCATCATACGAGCAGTATTCCCAACAGATAACTAACACACTTAATGCCACACTGCTCGCACTCAACTTCCCGTCCGCTAACACTGAGACATCCAACGTACTCTTCACACCCTGTGAATTGGACCTTGCGATCAGTAAGTGCGAAAACACTTCTGTCCGTCCAGACCAGTAAGCCTACCCCTTCTTTAGAAATCGTACTAGGTCTGGACTCACCAACCTTTGTCGGCTTTCGACGATATGTGGGTTAACGGCTCCTTCCCTCCCTCATGGCGCTCTAGCACACTTATCCCTATACTTAAGCCTTCCAAGCCTCCCTCTGACCCTTCGAGCTATCGCCCCATCTCTCTTATTAGCTGTGCTTCTAAAATATTCGAACGAATGGTCAGCGGACGTATCAGCGTGTTCCTTGAGTCAAATCACCTTTCTTCACCTTTGCATTCAATTCAGTTCGGATTTCGGACTAAATCTGCTACGGTAGCACTATTCGTGGATTTAAAGGCCGCTTTCGACAGGGTGAATAAAAGTGTCCTCCTCATCAAACTACATGAAATCGGAGTTCGTGGCCGGCTCGCCGCTTTCATTAAAAACTTTCTAACTGATAGGATGTTTTCTGTGCATTGCGGAAATACTTATTCCTCTCAGACGGCGCAGG